ATTTGTAAACAAAATTTGTTTTAGTATAGTTCTAGTTTAGAAAAATAAAAATCTGGGGCCTAATACCTCTGGGTTGGGCAAAATCGTATAATACTGATTCTCAAAGGATATTTACTGAAGTATTATCAGCACCACACTGGTTTGCAAATCTAGTTTCTTAACTGGATTGTGGAAAATACATTCATCTGATTTCAGACATCTCTAACCATCTTTTATTTAGATGCTTCTTTCTCTGTCATAAAATGATGTGCAACACACTTCCCTTTTATTTGTCTGTGATATGGAGTCAAGCATGCTTGCTTGCCAATTTGTTTTTGATATACGCTTCAGCTGGGCACGGGGAATTCCCTTTTTAGCAACCGAATGGATCAGTATTAATTTTTTTTTTAAAAAAATGAAACAAAACGAATAAACAACACAAGTGGGGGAAAAAAGAAACTTGACTTTGCCTTTTAACTATTTATATTGTATAAGTTAAAGCTTTGGGGTAATAACGTTTGAGTGTCAAATAATTCATTTCCTTTTATTAAAAAATATTGAATTTATTGCCTGTATTTATTCTAGCAATAATTCAATGCATTTCAAATATAGGTTGTTTAGTACAATTGTTACTTTAATAAACAAAATATTTTTGTACAACTGTGAGTGTATTACATTTTTTTTCCTACAATAATATCTTCTGCATAGACTCTTGATTTAATCATGGAAGTCAGCACCAAAAGGCAATCTCTGGGTGATCAATAGTATAAATGTTTATGTGGATCCATATTTCCATCTAGCTGTGTGCATATCTAGTTCCTTTTCTAACTATAATACAGAGTATTTTTTAACTGCACCAATTTTATATGTATATATGTGTTTGTGTGTGTGTGAGAGAGAGAGAGGGAGGGGGAGAGAGAGAGAGAGAGGGAGAGGGAGAGAAAGAGAGAGATGCTTTGGCTATATTCTCATCATACCTCAAACAAGCATCTGAAGGTAAAAAATGGGAGGTTCCTCAAAGCAGGGGTGAAATCCAGCAGGTTCTGACAGGTTCTGGAGAACTGGTAGCGGAAATTTTGAGCAGTTCGGAGAGCTGGTAGCGGAAATTTTGAGTAGTTCAGAGAACTGGCAGATAACACCTCTGGCTAGCCCCAGAGTGGGGTGGGGATGGATATTTTGCAATATCCTTCCCCCAGGAGTAGGAGGGAATGGGGATTTTGCAGTATCCTTCCCCTGCCATGCCCACCAAGCCACGCCCACAGAACTGGTAATTAAAAAAAAAATTCACCACTGGCTCCAACGTTCATTGAAACATAATGTTTGTGACTGTCATTTTTTTATCGTTTTCTCAATTTTTCTACCAGTGCAGTAGGACTCAGGAAAATTCTATGACTAGTTATTATTTATTTTTTTATTTTTTATTTTTTATTTAAATTTATTGAATTTATATACCGCCCTACTCCCGAAGGACTCAGGGCGGTGAACAGCCAAAAGATAAAACACATATAATACAAATGTTAAAAAAATCATTAAAATACAATTAAATAATTTGGCCCAGAAAACAAAATTAAAAAACCCCAATTATAAGACAAATTTAAAATTTAAAAAATTTAAAAAACAATTTAAAAAAGAGGTTAGGCCAGGCCGGCCTGCTGGAATAGGAATGTTTTAAGGGCACGGCGGAAAGCGCGCAGATCAGTGATCCTCCGTATCTCCGGGGGGAGCTCGTTCCAGATGGCAAGTGCTCCCACAGAGAAGGCTTTCCCCCTGGGGGCCGCCAGTCGACACTGTTTGACTGACAGCACCCTAAGAAGCCCCTCTCTATGGGAGGGTACTGGTCAGTGAGAGGCTACTGGTGGCAGAAGGTGGTCTCATAGATACCCCGGTCCTAGGCCATGGAGCGCTCTATCACTAAAGGTGGTAACCAAAACCTTGAAGCGCACCCGGAAGACCACTGGGAACCAGTGCAGCTCGCGCAGGAGGGGGGTCACATGGGAGCGCCATGTCGCTCCCATAACCACCCGCGCAGCCGCATTCTGGACCAGCTGGAGCCTCCAGGTGCTCCTCAAGGGGAGCCCCATGTAGAGAGCATTGCAGTAGTCCAGGCGGGAAGTAATGAGGGCATGAGTGACCTTATTTAATGAGTCCCAATCCAGAAAGGGCGAATCAGGTGAACCTGATAAAATGCCCTCCCAGCCATAGCCGTCAGATGCCCTTCTAAAGACAGCTGTGAGTCCAGGAGGACACCCAAGTTGCGGACCCTCTCCGTGGGGACCAACAACTCGCCCCCAATAGTCGGTGATGGCACCAACTGATTGTATCGGGATGTCGGAAACCACAGCCACTCGGTCTTGGATGGGTTGAGCCTGAGTCTGTTTCTCCCCATCCAGATCCGTACAGCCTCCAAGAAACTGGGACATCACTTCAAGGGCATTTCTGACAAATAAACAAATTTGGCCCCATTCTGATATGACCTTGCTGTGGAATAAATTACCAAGGAATCTCTGGATTTCCTAAACTGTCCTAGCCTTATGGTGAATAGCCAGTGGTGAATTCCTTGGGAAACAAGCTATCCAATCTTTATCACCCAACCCTTCCATCTGTTTTCGGGGAAACAAGATATGGTCAAAAAAATTCAAGATGGCGGATACAATGGTGAAATCAAAGCTCTGCCTGATTTTTTTATATAGGTTACAATGCACATAAAAACAGGCTGAGGTTCAATCATACTGTTGTGGCTACAATCTTGGCTTTTTTTTTTTTTTTTAGCTTACATTTCAGGCAGCTTTATGGGGAAGCAAAATTTGTTTAAATTCTGAGTAAGTTAAACTTGCTACAGATAGTATCAACTAAAATTGAGCCCAAAATATCTGTTGTTAATCGAGAGAGTGGTTAAGTGAATTTTATCCCATTTTACAACTTTTCCTGCCACATTTGTTAAGTAAGTTCTTGCAGTTGATAAGTTCAGTAACCCAGTTGTTAAGTGAATCTGGCTTCCCCATTGACTTTGCTTGCTGGAAGGTCACAAAAGATCATCACATGACCCTGGGACACTGCAACCATCATAAATACAGTCCGGTTGCCAAGTGTCCAAATTTTGATCAGGTGACCATGGGGATACTGCAACGGTTGTAACGGAAAAACCGTCACTTTTTCTGGTCCTATTGTAACTTTCAACGGTCACTAAATAGAATAGAATAGAATAGAATAGAATAGAATAGAATAGAATAGAATAGAATAGAACAGAACAGAACAGAACAGAACAGAACAGAACAGAACAGAATAGAATAGAATAGAATAGAATAGAATAGAACAGAATAGAATACAATTCTTTATAGGCCAAGTGTGATTGGACACACAAAGAATTTGTCTTGGTGCATACGCTCTCGGTGTACATAAAAGAAAAGATACATTAATCAAGAATCATAAGGTACAACACTTAATGGTAAATGAACAGTAGTAAGTCAAGAACTACCTATATATGTGATCAAGGTTCTCCATCTTTCACACCTGTTTAACAGTGAAGATTTCTAAATCACATTGGGGTTTATGCTTGCCCCACACTGCTCACCTTTTCAAATATTTCCCAAACATGGGAACAGCTAGAACAAGGAATGGATTCAGAATAATTCCCAGACTGTCTTTAATATTTATAATTCAGATTTGAGTTCTTGACTTCTACGATATAATTCCTCCACATATTGTACATGTGAGGCTTTTTTGGGGGGGATATTCTTTCAAAAGTATAATATTAGTTAACTAACCTGATATATAGACACCCATTGTTTAACATCAATTTTGCTTTAGGGAAGGCTCTAACTCAGAAAATATATCTCTGATGACAGCCCTTCGGCTCATCTCAAAATGCTAAGCAGGGTTTGACATGGTTAGTATTTGGAGGGGCACCACCAGGAAACTCCAGGGCAGTAGACCAAACTGGGAAGTCCACCCTTCCCCCGAATTTAAAGGAAGTCAGTGGCAAACTGCTTCTGCATTGTTGTTAAATAACCCAGGAGTCATCCAAACCTGAATTAAACTTGGGAGATTTTAGGTTTTTATAATTCAGAAATGGACAAGAAATAACCAGCCTAAATGATTGGTCTTGTAAGCCAAGCTGACATATCGGAAACAACCATTGTGGAATGCAGCCCCAATTTTGTAGTTGAGAAGTTAAAATATGTAATTGATGGTAGGAAAAGTTTTTCAGATTCAGTTTGCATTCTTTAATGCAAAAGGGATCTGGAGAAACAGAATATAGGATAGGAGGGAAAAAATATCGCACGCTAGCAATTATTAATTGCCCAAACTCATCCGGGACACAATGACTTGTAAGCCTCTGCATATGGATGTTTGTAATTTTTGTGTCATTTACCAGGAAACTTAGGTAAAACAAACAAATAAATTTCCTATGTTATTAGACAAAGATTTTGAAACATGGGGAGAGGAGCATACTTAGCCAACATTCTTCTACAGTGCAACTAATTTCCAAAATTCTTCTTGAAAACTAGTCTTTATAGCAAATTTACATGTAGCTACTAATTCAATTGCCTGCATTTCAAATTCTGGACTGGAAGCTCTTCTAAGCAAAATTGTATTAATAAAATCTTTTCCATCTGTTGCTTTTGTTACTTTTAACGGAGACTTTTTTTTTGTTTTACTTACAATAAAATTATCTTTGATGAGTATTTGCAGAGCAAATATTTATTTCATGTACAGTAGCCGATGTATTTTGTAAAGGGGTAAAGATATCTCTCTTTCTCTCTCCCTCTCCCTCTCCCTCTCCCCCCCCACTCTCTCTCCCTCTCCCCCTACTGTACTGAAATAAATACCAGTATGTGCTCTGCAAACACTCATTAAATATAGTTTTGTTGTAAGTAAAAAAAAATCTCCTTTAAAAACAAGCAAGAAACCATGCATAGCTAAAACATTTGTTTATTTACAAGTTTTCCCATTCCAGTTCTAGTGATGAGATGAATTATAATAATTATTATAATAAGAAAGAAATCAATGGTTTACAAAAATCTAAGATACATCTCTCTTCTTTAAGGACTGTTTAAAATATTTCATGCTACCTTGATGGGAGTTTGCTTCTGCAAAATAAGGAGAAGTCCAATCCAGCTTTTTCTGGATGCCTCAGAAACGTCTAGAATAAAATATGTCAATGCATGTATTTCAAAAGGAGGTGTTTATTTTGAACCTAACCTTTATTTACCAAGCATGGCATATATGTATATATCTGTTTGTTCAAACTGGGGGCGTCTCTTGAGCTCCGACCTCCGGACTTTTCGTCGGGCCCTAAAAACCTATTTTTTTCAGTTAGCCGGGCTGTCCTGATTTTATGGTTGGTTTTATAATTTGATATGGATTTTAATTGAAATGTTTTAAATTATGGGCCAAATTTATTTAATTATTTTAAATCTATTTTTAACTTTTGTGTATAAATGTTTTTTTATCTTGGCTGTTCACCGCCCTGAGTCCGAAAGGAGAAGGGCGGTATAGAAATCTGAAAGATAAATAAATAAATATATCATAAAGAGCAGGGTGGGTGGGGTGGGGAGGCATTTTAGCGCATGAGGCAGAGCACCAAATGGTGCTTCCCTCCCTAATTCACAGGATACAGTGAATCCATCAAGGTAGTTTAGCAAGAAAATCTTACAACCTCTAACAATAAAAGGGGGGGAGGAGGAGGAGGAGGAGGAGGAGGAGGAGGAGGAGGAGGAGGAGGAGACAGAAGAGGAAGAAATGGTGGGGATGGTAGTGAACAAAGAAGTTAAAATCCATGTGTATACTGTATATCTTTATCTCTTGCCAAGCTTTTCTTTTAGCAGATTCTTGTCTTGCTTCCTGTCCCAACAATGGAAGACAGCCCTGGCAACTTCAAGTGTCAATGACTTCTGTCATTCCCACCCCTGATGGAACACATCTATTTCCTCTTTGATGTGCCTGACCTCTGTTGACCCAACAGGGGCCTCTGCTTCTGAACTCAAGTTTCCCCAAGGGGCAATCAATTAGTTTGACAATAGACTCCTTACAAACTCCCTGACCTATCCTCCATCAGGAAGAAGAGCAGAAGATAAGGACTTCAAGGGAGAGAGAGAGCCAGAAGGACATCCTTGTAATTAATGGGATGGTCATTTCATATTTCAGAAGCTGCCTTTGTTATGTTCTACCAAACGGCTTGGTGAGATTCTTTCAACCAGCTTCATGGGCATCACCATCTATAGATAGACAGTGTGTCTATGGAGATTCTCAGTCATCCAGGTCATGGTTTTCCCAAAGGTGCTTTTTCAAGAGCCAGCTGGACTTTCTGGGTTTTCTTTGAAGGCTTCACTTCTCATCCAAGAAGCTTCTCCAGCTCTGACCACTATCCTGTCAGAGCTGAAGAAGCTTCTTAGGTTCTGAAGGAACTGGCAGACGAGCTATTTAATGGTGAAAAAAGTTCTACATTTAGGCAAGAAAAACAAAATGAACCACTGCAGTTGTTTTTCAGTGCCATTGTAACTTTTAACGGTCTGTTGTAACTTTTGTAAACCCAGGACTACCCGTATTCTTCTGATTTTAGCTGGACAGCTATAGAACACATCATTTTCTAGCATAATTGCAAATGTAAGATTTGTGTGTATGTGTATGTATGTATGTGTCAGTAGTGAAATTCAGCAGGTTCTGACAAGTTCTGGAGAACTAGTAGAGGCAATTTTGAGTAGTTCGGAGAACCGGCAAATGCCGCCTCCAGCTGGCCCCAGAATGGGGTAGGAATGGAGATTTTGCAATATCCTTCCCCCAGAAGTGGGGAGGGAATGGGGGATTTTGCAATATCCTTCCCCCAGGAGTGGGGAGGGAATGGGGATTTTGCAGTTTTCTTCCCCTGAAGTGGGGTAGGAATGGAGATTTTGCAGTATCCTTCCCCTGCTGTGCCTGCCAAGCCACGCCCACCAAGCCACACCCACAGAACAGTAGTAAAAAAAATTTGAATTTCACCACTGGTGTGTGTCTGTGTGTGTCTGTGTGTATCCCTCTCCTCTCCCTGTGAATTTCAAAACTCTTCTACTTTTAAAGCAGTCTTAAACTGAGCCCAAAACCACAAAATTAGTTTTCTTAAAACATACCTGTGGGAGACCAATGGGAAAACTCAGGCAACATTACAGACTGAACCATCCAAACAATTAAGTCCTTGTATACCCTAGCATTTTCTTTCCCCGACTTGTGGGGGAAAAAAAGATGGCTCTTTTTTTCCAACAACAGTCTTGTTTAGTACTTTAGAAACAGCTATTTGAAAATAACAAGTCAGTGTTTGCCGGCTTGAGGTGTAGGAAGACAGGAGGAAATCTAACTAGAAAGGCAAATAAATGCAGGATCAATTCTATGACGTCATAAAGACCCAGCTCTTTCATTTCACAGGAGTTTTATACATGTGAGTGTGTGGTATGGAGAGATTTGTGCCACCAATCGTGAAAAAGGCACAGCTTTTAAATTCTTTCGAGCAGCTCATAAACTTAGTTCATTTTAGACTCAACCGAGTGGGAGCTGACGGAAGTAAGGCCTGTATTGAATATTGTACTATTTATAGCCTTGTTCCTACCAAGATGTCCCTAAATGAACCAGAACTTCAAACATCACACAACATCACAATCCAGTATCAGTGTTTTCCTCAATGATGTTCAAACACCACTACCTCTTCAAACAACTTCGTGTTGTTTGGTGTCTTTATAATCCAATTTAGGTTCTGGAGTGGGGTTTTAAGAGACAAACGAGTGACATGAAGACAGTAATTCAAACATTTCAATGTTTATTATATTGATACAAATATCACCATGGTATAATGGGAGTGTCAATCATCCCAATATTATTACAGTAGTGGTCAAAATTGTGGAAACCTTTTGGGAAATGTGTATTTTCTAAAACTAGCTAATAACACCACTTTTTTTTTTTTGAGAAGTATCATAAAATTAAATATCAATGGAAAGATAATTTAATCAAGAATGTAATGCAATAACTTTTATGAAGGATTTGCTATTAGAATAGCAGTTACAGTTTAAAGAAGAAAAGTAAAACATGTAGAAAAAAAACGAGATATACAAAAATTAACATCATGTCAGTTAATACTTAGTTGGGTAATCTTTAGCATGAATTACGGCTTTACAACGTCTTCCCGCGGAGTGAACCAAGTCTTTTAGTTCTGCAGCTGTTATAATGTGAAACTAAGATTGAATAATTGCTTCTATAAACTGGGTTTTATTGCTGGGTCGCTTCTGACTAATAAGTTTCTTTAGTCAGCTCCATAGATTTTCAATTGGGTTAAGGTCTGGGCTATTCCCAAGCTATTCCAGCAGTGTAATATGATTATCTTGAAACTCTAAAAAAAAAAAAAAAGTGGTGTTATTAGCCATCAAATCTCAAAAATACACTTTTCCCAAAAGGTTTCCACAATTTTGGCCACTACTGTATATTGATGCAAATATCACCAAGGTATAATGAGAGTGTCAACTGTCCCAATATGCTAACCAGCAAAAGAAACTCCTGATACATTTTTTCCTTCAAGAGTATACTTTACTGAAAAGTCATTAAGTGTTGTAACTAATGATTCATGATGAATGTATTTTTATGATGACTATGATCATGATTTATCATTTGTTGCTTGTATGTACACTGAGAGTTTACGCACCGGAGACAAATTCCTTGTGTGTCCAATCACACTTGGCCAATAAAGAATTCTATTCTATTCTATTCTATTCTATTCTATTCTATTCTATTCTATTCTATTCTATTCTATTCTATTCTATTCTTCTGTTCTGTTCTGTTCTGTTCTATTCTTCTTATCTATTGTATCTGTTTCTATCTTCTTTTTTTTAATGTAGCTATTTATTCCATTTCTTTAAATGTTTTAATAAATAAAGTACAACAGCACCACAAAACCATCATTAGTTGCCTTTCTAATCCCACTGAGTTCTAGAGTTATTCTGGAATTAGCAATCTGTGCAGGTTAAAACATTTGAGAGGAAGACAACCCCATAAGAAGTCATCAGAAAGCAGAGGGTGGTTAAGCATCAGTTAAGAATGGCAGTTCAGAAGCAAGCCTCTAATTAAGCAAGATTTAGCCTGAACCATGTTTTGGAGAACTTGCAGGTTTTATGCTGACACGTGCATTTTTGGCTGATGCGTGAAATTAAGTCAGACGGTCAAATTGCAGAGCAGGGAAAAACTGGCCAGGGAATCAAAAAGTCTTGGGCTGTCAGGGTGTGCTTGACAGAGAACAGTCTGTACACTTTCAGAATAAAGAACCATCAGATGCAAGGGGAGTAGCAATGTAAACCATTCAGAATGAGCAGATGTAGAGCAGAATAACAGATAACAGAGTTGGAAGGGACCTTGGAGGTCTTCTAGTCCAACCCCCTCCTCAGGCAAGAAACCCTATACCATTTCAGACAAATGGTTATCAAACATCTTCTTAAAAACTTCCAGTCTTGGAACATTCACAACTGGATTAATCTGGATTACTGGATTCACATACTGGATTACTCGCAGCCAGAGGCTGCTGAAGGGACGTTTTGCATGTTTTGGGGACGTTTGGGGGCAAAGTTGGATCAATAAAGGGCAGTTAGACCTGTTCTCTGGCTGTGTTGCTTTTGTGCCACGCCCCTGGTCATCACATCTGTCTTTAGCATGTCCTATTTTCCCATTTTCCTGCCTTTTCCCACTTTTCATCTTCATTCTTTGTAAGAAGATTTGAAGTCCAAGGGAGAAGGCAGAGAATTGTCCAAAACACATATTCATCTAAATCTGGGGTGGAAAGTCTCAGAAGATTTAGACCTGCATGGCTCCTTCACTAAAGCCTTGGGAGTGGAACAGAGGTGGGTTTCAGCAGGTTCTGACCAGTTCTGGAGAACCGGTAGCGGAAATTTTGAGTAGTTTGGAGAACCGGTAGTAAAAATTCTGACTGGCCCCGCCCCTGCCCCCATCTATTCTCTGCCTCCCGAATCCCAGTTGATCAGGAGGAAATGGGGATTTTGCAGTAACCTGGAGTGGGGAGGGAATGGAGATTTTACAGTTTTTTTTAATTAATTTATTACTTTATTAATTTGATTTATATGCCGCCCTTCTCCGGAGACTCAGGGCGGCTTACGATGCGTTAAGCAATTAAGTATCTTTCCCCTGCCATGCCCACCAAGCCACACCCACCAAGCCATGCCACGCCCACCAAGCCACACCCACAGAACCAGTAGTAAAAAAATTTGAAACCCATCACTGGAGTGGAACCCCATCTCCACCCCACCCCCCCAACTCTTCCTATAGGAGCTGCTGAATTGCAATTTTTAACATGCGAGAAGGCAAAGGCATTGGGAGAAACCATGTTGAGCCATATGGTTTGTAAAAACAGGGAGATGCATGGAGGTTAACAGAATGTTTAGTTTTGCCCACTGATTATATTATGACCTACAAACAAAAAGGGATGCCTGGACAAAATTCTCTTTTGAAACTCCTACTGTTAGTGGTTTTGTATTTTGAAAGTTCTCTGACTGTGGTCTTTTGCAGCTGCTCTATTCTTTAATTTTGGGATAATCCAGAAACCTTCCCCCCCCTCTTTTAAAGCAAGATCTGTTCTATTGTCCATTCATTATGGATTCTCCTTTTTCTCAATGGCTGAGTTTTATTCCAGATTTTTATTCATGGACTAGCTGATAACCTGGTATTTATTTATCCCAGTCTTGTGTTAGACAGGAAGAGCAATTTTACCTTGAGCCCTGATTTCGGCAAGAATTAAATTAGTTAAAAATGTTTTCCCTGTGCCCCCAGAAGCGTCAAGTAAAATGATACCAACTGGTTACTTTGCTAGCTGATCTATGTGGGCGGCATAGAAATATGATTAATAAAATAAAATAAATGAAATGAAATAAATGTTTATTTGGGATGCTTTTTTCTGATCTTGATTTAGAAGTGGCTTCTTGTCTGAGATATATGCACTAAGATTTTCGACGTTGTAGTTCTTTTCTCGTATGTAATCTGCGTGAAGTATGTCATGTTGGTCTTATAGAGGTTCAGGCAGGCTGAGTGGCAGTAATGTTTTATTGATCATGGCCATACATTTGTCCTCAAGAATAATCAAAGCCTTGTTGAAAATGTCCGGACCAAACGTAATTTCTAATGTTGGATTTTCCCCCTTACCAGAAGGAGCTCCCTTTTGGAGTACTGTGAAGCCGTTACCATGGCAACTCCACTGTGCTGTACAGTAGAAATCATTTTAAGGCAGTCCAGTAGAAGCCATTTTAAGGCAGAACATGCTGTATCTTAACAGAACACACACACCCCGAGGGGTGTTAGGAGTGTCTTACTCCCACAGTATTTGTTTCCACAGAATAAGTCATCTGTGTACCAAGTTTGGTTGAAATTGCTCAAGGCATTCCAGAGTGTTGCCTTCAGTTTTGTTTCTCTAATAGTCTTTAATATCCTTAATATTCCATCTGAATCTCACCCAATCACCGCAATCCGGCCTCATTTATCTAATATGCTTCTTTATGATTGCAAGTGTTGATCAGGTTTCCCAATGGGAAGTTCCTGTGGGTCCATGGGTCATGTTACTTATATGAAGAAGAGAGGCTGAAATTGCTCTTCAGATAATTTCAGTAATTAATCAAGCATCCAGGAGAAATGAACACCATAATTTGTCTCAGGGAGCAGCTGGGGTATAGTGAATATGCTGGAACTGGCTTGCTTTGTTCCATCAGTGTTTAGAGAAACAGCAAAATAAACAAAATATAGTGACAACGTTATTCAAGAAAGTCCGTCTGCTTTGTGAAGGGGAAGTAAGGTTTTAGCAGGATTCTTGCCACACCTGAAGGAAATAGGAATTCCAGGAGCAATCAGAGCTAAAGGCAGGGGTGAAATGCTACTGGTTTGGGCCGGATCGACCGAACCGGTAGTAAAAAATGTAAGAAAAAAAAAAAGTTCCGACAATCAGCTGAGCAACGCGTGATTGTTGGAACTTGTTTTTTTATTTTTTTAAGCATTTTTTTTACTACCGGTTCTCCAGAACATGTAGTTAAAAATGCTTTAAAAAGTTTTTAAAAAGGTTCCAACAATGGCGCGTCGCTCAGCTGATTGTTACAACTTTTTTAAAAAACTTTTTAGGCATTTTTTTACTACTGGTTCGGGTGAATAGGTAGTAAAAAATGCTTTTAAAAAGTAAAAAAAAAAAAAGGGTTCCGATGATCGTGCAGCACAGCTGTTGGAGCCTTTTCAAAACTTTTTTTGAGCATTTTTTTTACTACCTATTCGCCCAAGCCGGTAGTAAAAATATGCTTTAAAAAAGTTTTTTAA